TGTCTCTCATAGTTGAGGTATAGCTATGAAGAAAATTACAGGCCTCTCTCATCTTTTTAAGTGGGAGAACTTGCACAATTGGTGGCTGACTAAATACTTCTTTGCCCCACTGTATGTCCCACCTGATGGCAGCATTTAAAAGATGTGGATAGCCTGATAGAGCAGACAGATACCTTCAAGAAGAGGTGGTCCTGCAAATAACCTGATCCCATGGCATGTGGGGCTTTAAAGGTAATAATCAGCACCTTGAATTGCACCTGGAAAGAAGCTGGGAGCCAGTGCAGTTCATATAGCAGTGGTGTAACATGGATAAATCAAAGTGTGCACAGCACTGCAAGTTCTGGACTTGTTGTATCTTCCAAGTAGCCTTCAAGGGCAGTCCCATGTAGAATGCATTGCATTAGTCCAGCAAGGAAGTAACCAAGGCATGAGTTACCATGAGCAAGGCCTCTCGGTCCAGGAATGGGCTCAATTGGCGCACAAGACATAACTGTGCAAAGGCCCCCTCCTTGAGCAGGAGCTGTGAGTCCAGAAGGATCCCCAAATTGTGCACCAGCTACTTGGTGCTACCCCAACAACAGTCAAAGATAACACATCACTGGGGGTGGGGGGCAAAAACCCAAAGCCACTCCATCTTGCTGGGGTTGATTTGGGGTTGGTTCCTCCCCATCCAGATACTCACAGCCTCCAGGCACTGTGTCAGCACCAAAATGATATCATCTGCCCAGCCAGTGGTTTCATGTAGATGTTAAAGAGGAGTGGTGAGAGACTGAAGCCCTGAGTCACCCCACAATGAAGGAAGCTTGGGCTAGACCTCTTCCCCCACACCAACACTGACTGGAACTGGCCACAAAGAAAGAGAGCCACTGCAAAACAATGGCTCCCACTCCCAGTCCCTGAAGCCAGTCCAGAAGGATACCATGGTTGATGGCACTGAAAGCCACCAAGGGATCCAGGAGTGCCAGGACAGCTGTACCATCTCCATCCCAAGCTCTCCAGAGGTCATCCACAAGTGTGACCAATGCCATCTCTGTATTGTAACCCAGCCTGAACCCAGACCAAAAAAGGTCCAGATAATCCACTTCATCCAGGGTCCTCTGCAGCTGAGAGCCAAACACCCTCTCTAAAGGGAAGGTTGGAGACTGAATGGAAGTTTTCCAACATGCTCAAGTCCAAGGATGGCCTATTGAGAATGGGGTATACCACTCCTATTCTTACTTTTAAGTTGTAAATGCTCTTATTCTTAAGAAGTTATTTGTAACTTTCAATCAGACTCTGCCTTCCAGCAACTTAAAATCTAATATTCTGCATCTTGCACTCTGGAACAAGAGAGAACAAGTCCTGATCTCTTTCTGTGTGATCTCCTTTGGGTATTTGAAGAGCGTTATCATAACCACTCTTAGTTGCCTCTTCTCAAGGCTAAACATACCCAGTTGATTCAATCTTTCTTCTTAAGACTTGGTTTCCTATCCCCTTATTCTCTTCATTACCCTTCTCTGAACTTGTTCCATTTTCTTTGAATCCTTCTGAAAATGTGGTGCCAGAACTATTCGTTGTGATGCCTGACCAACGAAGAACAATTATTACTTCCTGTGATTTGGAAATTACACTTTTGTGGATGCAGCTGTATCTGCATTTGTTTTCTTTGCAGCCACCTCACACTTTGCAATCAACAATTGTTCCAAGACCCCTTTCTTACAATACCATTATCAAGCCAGATATCTCTCATCTGATATGAGTTCAACAATGCCTAAAGTGCCATCAGGCTCACCATGACTCTAAGTGACGGCTTCCAAACTGCACACAGTGGAGCTCAGATGGTATCAGGCTGCTGGCAAGAGTGCTGAAGTTCATTTGTCTGGTTCTTCATAGCTACAACCAAGGATCAAATCCATCATGTCCAGCAGGATTTGCTCTGGACCTGCGCCAGAATCACTCCAGCTGTCTGCCATTATGTGTCACTGCACATAATTGCTGCTTATACTGCAGAGCTGTAAATGGACTTGGGTCACTTCTGATTTCACCTTCCTATCTATGGAAGAAAGTAAAGATCTTCATTTTATTTAACATTTTCAGACGGAAGATTTAATCATAATACTTAGCGCTTGTACAGCACATTTAAGTATGCAAGGGGGCATTTAAAAGGGCAAAACAGTGTATGTATAGCGTACTGACTGAAGGATTATAGTAAATAAGTCCTTTTAGAACCTCTTGAACTCTTTGTAGTGGCTCAGTGGTGGAGTTTATCCTACACATGACATATACTTTTTTTTTTAAAAGCAATTCTATTGAAATGCTTCATCTTGTCCTGTTTCTCTACTATCTCCCAACACAAAAGACAGAAAGTTCAAACTTGTGTATGTTAGTGGCACAGGCTGACCTTATTTCATAATGCCTTAAATCATTCTAAATAATGCAAAAGCACACATTGGCTGTTTTCACACAGCGTAACTGGCTTATGAGAGGGGCTGGTGTGTTGTGTGAATAGGAAAATCCAGTCAGCTTTGTGGGTAAACGAAGTTTCATCCCTAAACCATCTTGGGCAGTTCTGCATTAGATCAGTCAGATATGCAAATAAACAAGGAAATATGAACTGAGGAATATTCCTCTCTTCTGGCTGCCAGCACAGAACTGAGTGCCTAGATCAGCTCTCCAAAAGCAGGGCATCTCTGGCAACACCCTATTTTCTGTTTTTTTCATAACCACACCGGCTGATGATCATGGTGAAAGAAGAGCAGAAGAGGGTGTGGGTGGGTAAGGTTTCCCCTACTCTATCCACAATGGTTCTGCCTCTCTAGGGCCGCAGTGGACAATTTTACATTTCTCCCTTTGCAGAGGCTGGACTTTCTCCAAGGGCAGCTGCTTTATTTTTTGCACATCCTTGGCCATCTCCCACACACAGAAACACTGAATGTTTATCCAAGGATAGCAGCAGGCTAGGTTAGTTCTTTTGTGACACACAGCCCTTGAGGGTTACAGTTTGGGATTGTAAAATCCGCATGCTTGCATGATCTTTTAATTCAAATACAGTACCGAGTTTTAATTAGAACAAATGGTAAATTCTGTGCACGTCTTTGCAAGAGACTCACACCTGGCAGCTCTTCTGTGCTGAGCAATTGTACTGAGAGCTTGGAATGGTGCTATTGCACAAAGGCCTTTTTTCTCTCCTAAGTCAGAGGGCTGACCTGCCTACCTCTGGCTTCTGTAAGATTAGATAATTGTGCTCCCCTGTTGGTCAAGGAAGGGGAATGCTATTGATTCATAGGAAGCACTGAACTTCTGAGAGAACAGCAAAGGCGAGAACCCTCTACAGGATGATGCAAGAAGCTTCTGAAGGTTCAGGAGATGAAGCCAATGGCTGTAGGGAAGTGCCTTGGGTTATACAAACCCAACTTGTCTCTATTATGGAGAAACTTCTGGTACCCATTTTTGTCTCAGGATTTTGGCTGAAATTGTCACCATGTCCTATTTAGAACTGTTCAATATGCTCTTAAGAACTAATTTCACCCCTCTTCCTCCACACAATGAAACTGGCCTTGGTTTGGTGGACAGTTATACAGCAGAGGCCAATCCCTGAAATCAACCTGAGAGGAAGTCTGCTTAATCCAGTTTTGAACCTCAGCTCAAAGGTTCTGGAAAATCTGCAAGTAGCTTGCAATAAATGGCATTCTTCCATTAGAATCTGGAGACAAGAGTCACAATTTGAACTTTTAAGAAATTTTCAAATATCACAATTTCATTGAAATTCAATCTCAAAATGCCTTATCCAAGGTTTAATGCCCAAATTCAAAACTTCTATCCAGTTTTCATCCAGATTTGGAAATAGATTTAGTCATTGTTAACTTTATTGACTATTATTGTAGGTTATAGGGATTAACTGTCCAAAGGAGGCAGCTTGAGGTAAAGGAGATCTTGTATTAAGTTACAGAATTTGTGGTCTTCCAGAAGCTGGGCCCCAAGTACGTGATGCTGGATTTAGTTGAGCTTCCTCCCCAGAAGGCCAACTTAATGTCATTTGATAGGGAGTAACTGCTACTAGCTACTTGAGTTTGAAGGTTTGACTAACTGAAGCTATTAATCAGCTCACTGTTTAATTGAGTGAAACCACCAAAATACTGAGGTTCAGAGCAGATGCGCCTTTCTCCATGTGGCACAACAGATGCAGAAAGCCCTCTTGCCACCAAATCCTACTAGGCACCACAGGGACATTAGTAGGTGGAAAATGCATCCCATCCAAAGCCCTGCCAAGTTCATACTGGCAAGCCAGGAAGAAAAGTAGCATTTCCCCTTTTCCCTTTCAAGATTGTCAGACCTTTTTTGAAATATTATCTCGCCTACTGCAAAGATTAGGGGCATGTCTGGAAAACATATTCTCTGAGGACTGGAAAAACTTTGGATCCTGTGAATCAGAGCATTCCTTTTTTTTTTTTTTTTGCCTTAACCAATTATGGATCTTTGGACCACCAATGAAGAAGTCTTGGAAGGGAGACTTTCCTCTCTTTAAAAATAATTCCTGTGTGCAATTTTTTGAACCTGCAGTTTTTTAAAAAAATTACATGATAAATCCACTTTGCAAGCAACTAAGGATACCATGCTAAAAATGACAAGTATGAATCAACAGTTGAGCACCTGTTAAAACTCCTGTAGAAGAGAATAAATGTAGCTCAGGGTTGAACTGTGGAGTCCTTGGTGCTCTCTGAACTTGTTTGCTTTTTACAGACATTTCATTACCTGACTAGGTAACATCATCAGTGCACCAGGTGCATCATCAGTGACTAGGTAACAGTGTTCAGGTAACAGTCAGGTACTGAACAGTGTAACCTAGTCAGGTAAACTGTGTTACCTAGTCAGGTAATGAAGCATCTGAAAACAAATAACCAAACTCAGAGCGCACCAAGGACTCCACCTGTTAAAACGTTCTACTGGCAGACACTGCCCTCCTCTGGCACATTAAGGAACTACACCAAAACAGAAAGGAAGAAAAAAAAATCAAGAAAAGAAATTCCACTCCTCCTATGAATAGATTATTTAATGTCAACACTAGACAAAAAACTGATTTGTCAAATTTCTTTCCTATTGCACCAAGTGGTAGAAATATGGAGAGTATGAAGTGGAAAGTTTCTGAACAATAGGCAGAAATAAGCATTCGTTTTTGTTTTAATGTGTCATAGCAAACAGTACATTTGGCTTTATGGTAAGGAAAACAAACAGCTCGTTGTACAGATACTAGAAGTAGCCTCTTACACATCGCTGGCAGATACTGAGCTATCCCTGAAGTTTCATCTGATAGCCTAAAATTGCATCTATCAACAGCCCCAAAGTGCTGCAGAGCTGGTCTCCATTCCCTAATACAGCAACCCTCTCATGCAATTTGCTATGGTTATTACCAAAATCAGTTTGTGCTGTTATTCTGAATCATATGTTGAAGAAGTACGAGCTGACTTGTCTACTTCCAGTTTACAGTCCTCCATAAATTGTTCTTGTTTTCATGTCAATAAAACACACATACACAAAATGCTCGTTTTCAAAAAGGGGCTTTTCTACTATTATATTTTAAAATAAAATAAAAATGCCTCCTTTTTTGACTTGAGAACTATACTGCAAAATTGGGAAAAATATTCCTCTGCACTATAAACTGTCCTTCAGTCTTGGATCTGTGAATCTGGTAGGCTCCTTTAAAGATGTGGCACCAATCTAATTTTCCTTAGCATCTTAGTCCTGCATCAAGGGAAAGGCTTCTCCCGGTCTCTTTCACTGACTGAATCTCCTCAGAATCCAGGACAAGGCGTTATGCTCTTATTCCTGCTGGTGTTATGTCCGTTGTGTAATTCATGGGTTGTTTAAAGCATTTTAAAGAACAGTTTCTTCTCCTTCACGCTCTCTCTTTAAATTCAGCTTCCTTTTGTTCTTAACTCAGGATACAAGTGAAAATTAACAGCACTTTTGGATGGCTGAGTCTCACTGATGAGGAATTTTTTCTTCAAGCAGATGGAGAAACTAACCAGGTAAAGTACAAAGCCTATGTATGTGTAGGAAATATATTTACACCTGGAAAAAGTGATAATAGGAAGTAGAAACTTAAACCTATCATTTTCTTCTAATATATTAGAATATAGACAAGATCTTTTGCTTCAGTATTTGCTAGGTTGAACCTTAACTGAATGATAATGATCCTATTATATTAAAAAAAGAAGAAGACCCACCTTAGAAAAGACAATCAGGGACCACTTTAAATAGAAATGGTCAACAAACCTTCATTTTCCATTATAGTTGGCTGGAATCTATATTACAAATATAAAGGGTTGAAATCTCAAGAAACATCTTTCAGTGGCAGTAGAGGGGGACAGAGAAACAAGACCTTAACAATGGCAAAGGCAGAGAGAAACAAAAGGGACCCCCTCGGGTTCCACCAAATTCTGTGAAACAAGGAGAAGGAGATTCTACAGCCTGAGAGGGTGGCAGATCCTCATGGGCTCGGCATTCTTCTCACCATGACTAAAGCCAGTACTGAAGAAAGGGTAGAATCTGCTAGCCCATAACTGGTGGAAAGTAAAGAGAAGTGACATCTCCTCAGCATCATAGAAAGTCACCGTTTTGGCCTTGCAGTCCAATAACACACCCACTTTCCGCAGCAAGTGCTGGGGCTTCAAACGTACCCAGGGAGTCGCTGCAGCCCAATACTGGGCATTGCTCCACAGCCTTATAGTCCAATAGCCATTATCTGGACACAGCCGGACTCTTGCTGTCCGGTCCACATTGTCTGCAGCCACTCCCAATTCCCACTTGGTCTTGTTGCCCACCCAGACTTCCCAGTAATGCCGCCCGCTTTCAAAGGACTCGGTAGCCAACACATTCACACTCTGCACGAAACGTCTGGGGCTTCTAGGTACTCTCTGAGGTGTCTCTCTCTCTGTCACTGAAGTCAGATCTTTGGAGAGGATGAGGTTGGGGTGGGCCGATTCTGGATCCAGGGTCAGAGCAGTAGGAGCTACGGGAACAGTGAACAGAATTAAGTTAGGCCTCTGCTATTTAGGATCTCTATTCTATCTTTTTATCCCAAGTTTCCTTCAAACAGGGAAACACACCTGGGCTGATGGACTTCAGCATCTTTCGCCAAAATATATACTGCAAGGGCCCATCCTGCAGCTCCTTGTGCTGCTTTAGATCCAAGGTCAAAGTTGCTAGATGCACTGCTGGTCTGGAACAGAAAGAAAGTTAGTTAAGCAAAACAAAGTACAGACATCAGGATATTCCTACCTTATCAAGTAAATTGTCTCCAACCCCAAAGCTTTCCAGTCAATTCACCTAGACGCTCTGCAGTATGTTTATTGAGCACAAAACGCTCAACACTTTTGTGCAGCAAATTATTGTGTTTCCAATTTTATAAAGAGGTGGCAGTAAAACTGTTATAAAGTGGCTCAGCCATATCCATTTGGTGAATCCACGTAACAGATGGAAGTATGTTCAAATTACGGCGGGGAGCAGGATGTAGAGGTGTTTTTTATTAAATCCATCAACCCTACCACTTCTCAAAGATCAGGAAACCATGCAGCCCTTTATTGCCTTCTGAAAGCAACAGCTAAGGGGAGAGAGCATGGCCTCTCCCTTCTAATTCCAGTGCTAGACCGTGCAACTCATCAACGCCTGTGAGTGCAGACGTTTTAAGAATGAAGCATCGTTGAAAAATGGCAAAATTCCCACGATGTCTGTTCAGCTTAAATCAGAGGGCAAGTTTCTGACCTGGGCAGTCTGCTGCCTTTTCTCAGTCTAAGTGGTTTATTGGCCCAGTCTGGTAGGCCAGAAGAAAGTCACGAGCATCATGCAGGAAGCTAGTTTTCAGACAAACAGAAACACGCACAGTAACAGTGTATAAATGGAGTTAATACAAGCATAAGCCAAATGCTATTAACAAATTAATTTTAAACTCTTGACTCCAACAGAAACCTTAAGCCATTTCCTTATGTGTAAAAATGTCCCCATAGCAGAGTGAAGGAGAATTGCCCAAGCAATTTTCCCTGTCACCAGTTAACATGAAGGAAATGGATGCCACATCTCCAATTTAGCCATTAGAACAACTTGGTAGAGTCATAATAAAACAGAATAATGAGATACATATAGGAATCCAACAGGAGCTCAATAAGCATGGTGGGTGGGTGTGCATGTGCGCGCGTGTATTTCCTGCCTACCCGGGAGAAGCTGAAAAGCTCTCCAGGATCAGCATAGAAAAGCAAAAACAGATTAACTGAGCTCATGTTGGAACTGATGGCCTGCAAATCTGGCACGCTAACCTCCAGCCCATTTAGACTGCTAATCACTTCTGGGGGACTACAAGGGGGACTAAAATAGCTCAACCATTTCACAAAAGCCCCTTTTCAGTTGCTGTAGCTTTCCCTCCCAATTCGGAGCCCAGTACATCTGTGCAACCGTGTCCAGCATTCACAGGATACAGATCTACTCATATGTCCTTGGGCAGTTCTTTGGCTCCCTCCAAACTGATAAGTTTCAGTGCTTTGAACGCTAAGGTGATGATACCCCATTGTCCACCCTGCTGAAAATATTCCCTTGGACCAGAGCAGGTGAGAAAAGAACAACATGTGAAGGAGCTTTTTTCTTCTTTTCCAAACACATACCTGACAGCCACAGTTTCCACCTGCAAAAAGCAGCAGAGAAAATTAAGGAACACCTCACTTAATTTGTATGGAACAGCTTCAGTAGATCCTACTGTCTTCTGTCCTGAAGGACAATCAATTAAATGAACATTAAACACAATTCCAAAGGGGAAGCTAATTGCTGAAGAACTATATTCTGGAGATGGTAAATACACGTTTCTGTAAATGAATGAGATGCGATAGGTAAGCTTTCAGTCCCTCATTATCCAAGACATATAATTTTTTGGGTCTTTCTAGGCCCTTGGCTCTGAAGCCAGAAACCTGTACTACATCACCAGCAAAGCAACAGAACTTTGTCCCTATCTGTATATTTAATTTTAAACTACATTGGAACCAATCGTAAATACAAAGGTAAGAAATAAAGTTTATTGTACTTTTGCTGATTTGGGGAAACGTGGTAAGGGGAATTATGGAATGTTTTATATGATTATGAAGTTAAAGGTTGGTCATTGTGGTAAAAGTATTATTTGATGAAAGCAAAACATGCAGGGGAAGAAACAGAGCACTTAATGAATGGTTCAACACTAAGCAGGCTTAAGACAAGGATGTTTCAAATGCCCTTGGTTGTTTAACGTAATCACTGACAAATAGGTAAAGAATGCTTGTGGTAACATTAGAGGTGTACTGGTGTAGACATGAACAGATGTGCTCCTTTGTATGCAGACGCTGTGTTGTTGGCTGAGAAATCAAATGATTTGTAGTGAATATCAGATTGTATGGTGTAATGAGTTGTATGGTTCTGAAAATTAATGCATCAAAGACTAAAACAGTTTTATTGGACAGAGAAAGCAGAATGAATGATTGTAAATTATGCACAAATTTTGGGGGGGGGAACCCCACCCTAGAGCAAGTAGATGAATTTGTTAGTTGGTAGAATGTGGAACTGGATTAATTTTAGGATGTGCAAATGGGGGCAGAAAGATAGTAGATAATATGCGATCTATTGTGAGGAATGAAAGTTAATCAAAACAAATAAAAAAGGCTGTGCATAAGAGCAAGTGTCTGCCTACTTTGTTATACAGTGGGGCAAAAAAGTATTTAGTCAGCCACCAATTGTGCAAGTTCTCCCACTTAAAAAGATGAGAGAGG